TWMTATCATAATAGTATGATATTAACRTTGCCCTTGATGCYGTTATACTGTACTTACGATTCRTTACTGTGTTCTCTTAAATAATCTCTTACACATGACATAGCAGCTGTTCTACCTGTGACAAACAAATTAAAAAATTAATTATTATAAAAGCACTAAATTGTAGTGCGACCTGATTTGTTGATTTGATTGAAAATGGATATAATATTTCTATCAGTATATTATAAATCAAATATGAACTTATCACAATGAAAAACAATGGCCATACAGCTCAGAAATGGGTAAAATGATTCACTTTCAATGTATCCAGTAATTACATGCAGTGAATTCTAAACAGCCCTTAAATCAAGCATAAACATRAGTGACTGAAAAATAATTTTGATCAACTTACAGACTTCTCTTAGATCACTTCCAGAAAAGCCATTTGTTATACAGGCTAGTTCATATAAGTTAAGAAACACTTCATTATCAACCTGCAAAAATAAAAAAATTAAAAAAAAATCATAATTTTAATAAAAAATCAACTGTTACGCTAGGGTGATGAAGATCAAATACATCATATGGCAATCAGATCATATGACTCGTCAATGAGTAAGAAACAAGATTCAAAGGTACACAATATGGTGAAAGCTATCAAATAATATAAATAATAAAATAATCATACATTTTCTTCTCCAAGAATTATCCTCAAGATTTCTTCTCTCTGCTTTTCATCCTGTTGTAGAAAATGAAAATATAATCTACAATTATAATGATTACGATCATGATTGTAATGGTTATAAATAATGATAATAAAGATGAGGRTAATGATCAACAATGATGATAAGTATAAAGACGAGAGAGTTATGTCAAATTGAGTGTGAAAACATCCATACAGGTTATGGTACGAATTGTGAATGTCTAGTTAATAGCTCAAAGCACTGAAACATTTATGGTCCATTTTAAACTCTGCCCTAGCGTTGATGTGGTAGCTGTACTTACAGGCAGTCCCACATGGAAGGATGCCGGCATTCTTCTCATTATTGCTTTATCAACATCTTGAGGTCTGTTTGTTGCACCCATTACAATCACCTGACAGTTACGATCTGTTAGCAGACCTGTCAATCAATCAATAAATGATTATCATGTGATAGCATTGTGATAATGAGTAATCATAACATTGATGATGATGATAATGGGAAAATTTACCAAAATCAATTTTAATTTATTTTCTTACCATCCCAAAGACTCATGAACTGTGCTTTCATCATTGCAGTTGCCTCATGATCATTCTTATCTCTTGCTCTTAAAAACGAATCTAAAAAAATGCATTCAATCAATGATTTTTTTGTGATTTAAGGCCTCCAAAAACCCTTCAACCAAGGAAAGTAGCCAAGAATTAACTTTGTCCATATCAGTGATAGTACCCTCACTTCCCTAAACTTTATTGGCATGTCAAACTTATAGTTATTATAGAGTTTAAGGACCAAGCAAAGTAGCTGGTCTTTTCAAGTTTCACATAAAGACATGGTAGTATTTACCTATTTCGTCAATGAAAACAATGCATGGCTGTAATTTCACTGCCTGAAATAAAATGAACAATATATCACTAAATTTACAAGGAGGAATACCATATATTTAATTTGATAAATAAATCAACAGTCATTTTTATTTACTGCATGCCTACCAGTGAGAATACAGCAGCAGCAAGCTTCTGGGATTCACCATACCACTTGTCAGTCAAAGAAGAAACTTGTAAATTCAGAAATCTRCATCCTGTGTAATATCATCAGTTGATAAGTAAATATCATGATAACTTTCAGTAAAACCAAAAGCAAAGTATTTTTAATACTKAACCTGCTTCTTTTGCTGTTGCCTTGGCAATCATAGTTTTTCCACAKCCCGGTGGTCCATATAATAAGACACCTGAAATGAAAAACAGGATTTATAAAATGACAACTGTTAATGCTGTAGACTTTTCATGAAATGTGCTTGCTATAATTACAGAAGTACATGTAAAACAGTTTCCATGAGTCAGTGAWATARAGGCTCTGACTATCCTACTTTGAGTATACATGTAGATTTTTTTTCTGTATGGGTTTGAATGACTGAGCTAACAAACCTTTGGGTGGAGATAACAATGCTGATCCTTCAAATATATCTCTTTGTTTGAAAGGAAGGATAACAGTTTCCTGTGTAAGAAGAAATAAAAACATAATCATCATACTTTGTTAGCTGCCAAAAACTAACTGTACTTTTTCAAACTTCAGTTAAAAATAGCATGAAATACTCTCCTTGCAATGGTGTTTTTTTTTATAAGTTATAAAATAGTTCGAGCTTAGTGCTATTGGGTCATAGCCACCAAGTTAGATAAACAYGTCAAAGAATTCATTGTAAGTTTTTGTGTCCATTTATCCAACACAGTAACAATGGCTTTGTTTATTCTCTAGATAGGAATTTGTTGTGACTACATTATCAATGAATTGTAAGTCTGTCAAAAAATTCAATGAGGCATTTTCACAGCGCTACTATCTAGAGTAATACTTAATGGAAATGATAGTTAAGACTTAAGCTTATATTTTATATACAATTAAAATAATACCTTCACTTCTTCTATTGTTTCTCTCAGTCCACCAATTTGAGTCCATTCAACAGGCATTGACAAAGGATCCACTAAGTCTGCTGCAATGGCTAACTCATATTCACTTAGCTAGAAAAGTATTGGATGCTTTAGTTTACTAGAAACTCTTCAAGTGTTATCAAAACCTATTAATTATTATATATTATATATAATGTTATAGTTTAAGCTTATGTAAGTTCTTCGATTTACCTGGACTCCCTCAACTCCAATCTTCTTTAACAATTGTTCAGCCTTAAAATTTAAAACAATAAGATATCAGAAGTTTCCTTTATTTAGATGAAAAACGAAATTTAGATCTATTAATTAAGTTATAAAGGTAAAAGCATAATAATAAACAACGAAAACTAAGCATGCAATGTGCATTTGACCTGTTTTTGAGCTGCTAGTCGACTTTTTTTTGTAGGGTCCAGCGCATCCATAAGCCATTTTACGCCGTAATATGTAAACGTCCCAAGTAGTAGTACCTGTAGAGCCGCACTGAAGTATCTAGCTCGATTATCTGGCATAATTCAGTCGCCTTTTTGTAGTAAAATGTTSACTGAATTCAAATATTATTKAAAAATTTTTTTCAATGCGTTGAAGGCTGTCAGCTGTTTTCTCTAMCGCACATGCGCACTCGAAGCATAACAATCGCAAAGCAGCATGGGATCTTCCTCTTCGATCTCTTCAAATCTGCAATCAGTCTGATTACAGAGTTAGTATTGAATCCTTTGTTATTTCTCCGTTAAAATAAACCATCTTTACTAATAAAACCTGTCAAAGTAACGTTGAATAATAGTGTTACTTAGCAGTATTGTTATTTTTAATATTTATGTTTTAGTATGGCGCCACGAAAGGGTCAAAAAACTCAAAAGCAAGAAGAGAATATCTCTCTTGGACCTCAGGTGCGAAAGAATAATTGTTTYCTTTTCKTGATAAGTCGTTCTTAGCAGTTTTAGACCGAAGATTGACACACTAATTCRTTTACYTATGGCTTAAYCTGTTTAGGTTGGTGAAGGCGAACTTGTGTTTGGTGTTGCGCACATTTTTGCTTCGTTCAACGATACATTTGTTCATGTGACTGACCTATCAGGAAGGTGAGTGTATAAATCGAATAGAAATTTCAATTTTTGTAAGCTTAGTTCGTAGTACACTTACAATAAAAAGCCATAGAATCATAGTTTTCATCGGGATCTTTGGATCTTTTGTCGTGCCAATGAAACGATGATGATGATGATGATGATGATTGCAATCATTTCATTATACAGTTCTAGTCCTATGCCCAATAATCTTTAACCTCTTGGTTATCCTAAACAATGCAAAAATGGCATGACAAGGCTTCAGTGTTGCCGAGCTTTGGGGAAAGACAGTATATTTGCTACAGTCATGCATTCTCAAGTAAATCAATACAAGACTTTACCAGAGTCTCCCTTCTTTCATTCAGAGAGAAGATTAAGAAGACTGAATTGCGCTATAACTTATGTAGATTTGAGGAGGGAAGCACAGTTATCCATGATGCTCTATGATGGACTTACAATATGGAGTGAAAATGAGCATAAGCATTGACAAAGGCAGATTAATTGAGACTCATAGTGCAGTTTAATAAGGTTRTCCATGTCTAATCCTACCAAATCAACTCTTGAAATTCAATTGCTGAACCATTTTCTTAATAAAATTCCTTCAGGGAGACCGTGTCCCGTGTTACCGGTGGAATGAAAGTCAAAGCTGACAGAGATGAGGCTTCTCCCTATGCTGCTATGTTGGCTGCACAAGATGTTGCTGCCAGGTGCAAGGAGATTGGTATCACTGCCCTTCACATCAAGCTAAGAGCTACCGGTGGCAACAAGACCAAAACTCCAGGACCAGGGGCCCAGTCTGCACTTCGCGCTCTTGCTCGATCTGGAATGAAGATTGGACGTATTGGTAAGAAGAAAACTATTATTACACAATCTTTTAAAGAAATTACGTGTTGTTTTCAGGGTTTGCGCTACTCCTTGAAATCCTTGAAAAGGGTGCTTGAAAAGCTCTTGAAATGGGAAAAATTGCTAAACTTCCTGGAAAACTCCTTGAATCTGATAAAATTAACATATTTCTTTTTGCAGTTTGGAATGAAATGTGGCCGTATTTTTGAAAATCACCACTGGAAACATTCGCAAATATCAAAATCAAAAACTATCCTCAAAAATAGTCCTTGAAAATCGCATTTTACAAAAAAATCCTGGAATTTTGTAGAGAAAATGTTGCACAAACCCTGTGTTTTTATCCCTATTCAGGATAAAATGATTGATACCCAAAATGGTGATTTACACAATGTCTCTGTTGATTTGAATGCACAACCAACATTTATTTTTACTACAAGTTAGCAGCAAAGTAGCTCATTTGTTTCTTATTATTTTGCAGAGGATGTSACACCCATTCCCTCAGACAGCACCAGAAGAAAGGGAGGCAGACGTGGTAGACGTCTGTAGAAACTGTAAAATCTACAAATAAAGCATRAATTCCATCTGAAAATGTTGTTGTTTTCAGTCTGTTATAAAACTATTTATCAAAGAAAATGTGAATATTATCTTAAGTTTCTGTTAGAGTGGATCTTGTATGACTGTGCAATGGCATGGCACTGTCACAGAACCTCACCTTCTAGTAATTCCAAATAAAGTTAAGATTTAACAATACATCGCTGTCTACAGTTACAGCACAAAGGTACCATGATTTTTGCACAGTCATACGAAATCTGCTTAATCAAGAAAGTGCCCTTTACTCAACTTAAACAATGGTCTCACATTGTATGAAGATGCAAGACATCCCTTATGCATCCACCTTGACCAGTTGCCTGTTGATAGGAGAGTCGATGAACAATAAGAAATGGATGCTTTGGAGGCCAACAGATCCAGAAAGCTGGGATTGAAAGTATTTCCTTTGTTTAAGAATTTCCAACAAGACCTTCCATTCCTGACATTGCTTTAAATTTACTGAATTTGGGATTAGTAGTTCACGGTTTTTCAAGGCATTCAAGCAACATATGCGTGAAACAGGAACTTATTTCGTATAATTGGGATACCTGTGGTGAACTCGATAACGAGGCTCGTACAGAGAGAAAGAACGAAGCGATGTGACACAAGAAATAGTTGAAATGGATTTGTGGTTTGAGTGGAGGGAAGATAATAATGAAGAGCGGTTTTCGTTTGAAGACAGCGACAGATTTGAAGAGGATTCATTGGTGTCCTGGAACTCTGAGCCAGAAAGCATTTGTGCCAACTGGCGAGGATGGAAGCCTAGCTCCCAAAGTCAGAGTGGCGCGAATTTGGTATCAGAGACCGAGAACAAAGTTGATAGCTTGATCGAAATATGTGCCAAAACAGTCGCAAATTCCATCCCATTTGAAGCTGTGGAACAGTCCTACCCACAAATACCAGAACAAATACAGTTGAGGATAGCTTTCTGGTCTTTTCCTCGCGTCGACGATGATATCAGATTGTACTGTTGTCTTGCAAATGGCAGCCCGGACGAGTTCCAAAAAGGGGAGCATCTCGTCAAGGCAAAGGCCGTTAGGGACGCTTTACAAATTGGTAAATATATAGCAAACGTGTCATAAAAAGGCGTTTTTGGACATAACTTTTCAATGAAATACTGGAGACAATATTGCATGTTGTCAGCATTTCAGACGATTTGACGAGTTGCTTTTGGTTACAGTTGTAATAACCACTTCAGTTTAGACCATTTAAGAATAAATTTGGAGAATATGCTTTAAAAAAACTATAAATACTCATTTAATTACATTGATTTACATTTAGWTTTACAAATGTCTTTCAAAAGTATATTGTTATTGTTTAGAATTTCACAATAACATATCGAGTGGAGAATAAATTACATGTAAGTTATGGTTAAAACTCAGCATGGGGGAGAGGGGAAAGTATTGTTGTTGATTAYTGAGTGTTTATATTTTAGTTCTAAGCGAGTGCTACATTTTTGTTTCAATAAGAGTATATTGTGTATATTTCCTTTCCTTACAATTAAGTAATTGTAGTTATTTTGACTTGTGTTATTCAGGTTTCCATTTAAGTGCAACAGTAAACCAACAACATAGTTCTGTCCAAACCAGAGGAATGTTCAGTGTAGCAGTAACCTTCGACAGGGGACATATAACATCATGTAACTGTACATGTTGCCCTTCGGCAACATGGTGTGCACATATCATTGCATTATGCCTGTTTCGTATATATCATCCAGAACAAGTTTGCCTGCGAGCACCGGTTTCTGAATACTTGTCTCGCTTGAGAAGAGATCAACTTCAGAAATTTGCACAGTACCTTATTAGTGAACTACCACAACAGGTGAGTAGAAATGTCATCCTGAACAACAAAACTACTGTTAGTCATATGCTACTTGTGTCAAAAGGTTATCTCTATACCACCTTTGTATTCAAAGATGTAGAAGTCAACCTTTTATCTTTTTGMCTTACACCTCAAGTCAAGAAAGACAAAAGTTTAACAATGTTTTGTCCTGATAGATTCTCCCAACAGCACAGCGTATTCTTGATGAGCTTTTGTCATCTCAAGAATCAGCCATCAACACTATGTCTGGTGCACCAGGTACAACGAACTAAATTTACAATCTGATTTAGATGTCAATTTCTGTGAATATTCAAGCACCTCTTTACTTTGTTTACATTTCGTATGAGTGGGACACCGTTACTGCACGTTTACTGCACAGTTACCGGACCTGGCCTGCACAATTTTCGTGAACCAATGAGGCACTAGAATTTGGTTACAGTATGATTATAGTCACAGTACAGTACCGTCCGTTTCCCACTCATACGAAATCCACTCTATTTGATACATTATTGTCATTATTTGTAGATCCAACAGCCGGACCGGCTGCGACTGATCACAACAAATGGTGTATGGATGAAAAAGGGTTGAGAGATAACGTTCGTAAAATGTTGGTCAGGTTCTGTGGTCCTGTTCCGTTGGTATTTAGTGATGTTAGCGCAGTATACATGTCCAATACTGCTCCACCTACTGCTGCCGAATGGTATATACTGTCTTAAATGTCACKGTGTCATCAGTTGTATTCTTATGTGTTTTTTTTTCGGGTGTTAAGGTCCAACCTCCTGCGGCCATTAAAGGGACGAGAACCAGAGGGAATGTGGAACCTACTGTACATYGTTAGGGAATTGTTCCACAGACGAGACTCCAATGCTATTAATCTTCTCTCTGCACTGACTGAAGAGTGTCTTGCAAATGACCAGGTAAAGGTTTTCAAATGTTAATTATTGGGCTTCCTGTGTGGAATTCTGTGTTCACATCTGGGATTCCTGTGTTAAAAATTTTACATAGGGATCCCACCAAAAAGACAATTATTGTTCTATATTTTACTCAATTTTTTAAGCAGATTACTTTATCCAAAAGGTAATAGAGCACAGATGTTAAAGATAATGAATTTGATGATGATAGTAATGTCATTATTATAAAACCATTTCCAGGTWGTTATATGGTGGTTTGATAGCCGTAGCCAAGCGTCRGGYTCCTCTGTACATCGTAACCATGGTAATGGCTACCGTAACAACACCAATGCTGCCAGTACTGAGGCTACAAAGCATGCATGTGCAGGGTTTTGTGATGAGCTTGTTGTCTTGTGGTGGCTAGCAGCATTAAACCCTAAACTAAGTGATAATGACAGACAGGACTTGAAAGTRTGGYTAGAACGTTGGCACCAAGATGCTGTAGAMAAAGCAAGAGCAGGTCAGTSAAACATTATGATAGAAGCAAGTCTGAAATACTATAGATTCTCAGTCTTTGTAGCCATTTATGCCAAAGAATACAATGCTAACAATTCCACTGTTTTCAGGCCATGGAGGAGGCTTTCAAGCTGCTGTTTCATGTTTTCCTGGTTTTCATCCCGCTATAGAGGCTTGYTCCTTAACCTGGGACAACATYGAGATYACATCTGATGCTGAAAAGCCTCAGGAGGCATGCATTGCTAGCRGTTTAYTCTGTAACAGTGCCAACAATGCAGTGTCTACYAGTAGTTCCCATGAAATGGTTGAAAATGTTTGTTCAGAAGGTGACCTTGCAACGTCTGCTGAAAGAAAAYCTGACAAAGATTATGATGTGTAAGTTTTCAGTTAATGCTCTGAGTACTAACTGGATGAACGAATGATTAGATAAATGGAAGAAATGATGAAATGATCTTCAAGTGAATGGATGGATTAATGAATGAATGAACTGAACTGAATAATGGATATATATTGATTGGTAGATTGATTGATTGGAAGATTGATTGGGTGATTGATTGATTGATTGATTGATTGATTGATTGATTTACTGATTGATTGATTGATTGATTGACTGGTTTATTGATTGATTTGTCAGACATCATAAAGAAACACCCACACCAGTTGACCTCCATGACATTGAAGAAGACCTGGAAGTACTTTGTGCAAGAGCTGAAGCACTTCATGTTCATGGCTACTCTTCCAAAGCAAGTAAACTTGCARTAAGACTGGCAGAAAGAATCCTTGATAGCAAGACTCATCTTGACTTGAGTACAGCAACCAATWCCCACAAGAACACAAAGTCRTCTTCATTYAGCAGTACYACTCTCGTGAAGGCAGCGTTCCTGTGTGGAGTACTTGCTGAGGATCCTCACTGTCATCATCTAGCATTTAAAGTTGGTATGTTTGGGTTAGAGATGCCACGGCAGCCTGCTAAAAGCAAGGCATTAGAGGTTGGTAATTATCTTCTCAATTTATTCTTAGTATGACTTAATTACCTGTTGTTATACTCTTAACAATGGTATTATTATTATAGTAATGTCATGATAAGAAGCTTCTTTCAAGGTCTTACGAGTTTTAAATGAATAATATTTAGTTAAAATTTCTAAGTTTTACATAAATATACACCAAAAATAGTCCAAATCGACTTAATGACTTGACAAAAAGTGAGAGGAGATGGGATCAAGAGTGTATAAGTCAAGTTTTATTAGCTTGTTCTTCACCACTTGTATGACGTCTTTTTTAGGTCAAGCTAGCTCATCAAGAATCAGAACTTACAGCTCTACTAAGAAGGCTTCCTCTTCAAGGCGAAGAGATGATGGTTGTCAGGGAAAAAGCCAATCTAATCTGCCAAGGAAAACTACAACGTGGTGGTGCTGTGTTGCCAATCATGCTTGCGACATTCATCTTTGAAGTTCTGTGCTGTCGAGATAAATGCAGCAAGGAAGCYAAGAATGACCAGGAAAAAAAGGTTGATGAAGATCTTGGTTATATGGCAGCATTCTGTGCTTTAGGTTGGTATYATATGATGATTATGATGCTAATGGTGATACTGATAATGATCATAATGATGATAATACCGATGATAACGATGATTGATCATTATGTCGAAGCTGAACATTTAAAGGGTGCTTGAGAATTCACAATGGACAAAATGGAGTTCATAAGTACCACGATGTTTCGCCTTCTAAAGCAGAACAACAAGGAAAAGACAAATTGTTAATRCCATTATTTTATTATTTTCTAGGTATGAGACCTAATATCCTCGAATCGCAGTACCCAATTTTATGTGAAGGAATAAGACGTCAAAGAGGGGACCTTGCAATTGCTTTATTAGATCATTGCAAAGACACACCCTCTAGGCTTAAGGCAGTCAAGGAGGTCCTTCTMGATAAGTCTCGTTACGATGGACCAGGTTTTGTTAGTGAAGTTGARAGACAAAATGGCACGAGACARACGGACACAAAACAGAACGAGAACGACAAAAAGACTGATGATAGTWATGTTAGAAATAGAGGTGGATTTGGTTTACCTAGTAACCGTCAAGGAAGGTACGCAAYACTCATGACATTTTCATTTAAAAGTCATTGTATTTGCTCATTTTTTCGKGTTTTTTTTTCACTCCTTTTTTCCCAGTCATGCATTCATTTGTTCCTCCTTTGTTTTCTCATTCAATCGGTCATGCAATTATTCGTTTATTCTTTATTTCATCCATTGATTCATCTTTCTACTTTAATTCAATRAAATCCGACCACAAACGATGAAGAAAAKGCGTGAGAACSAGATTGATTCWTTTAAAGAAAGCTGATCAAAACACTGTCATTTTATTTTGTTTTTGTAGTAACAGTCAAAGYTCGTCTTACACAAGTGACAGTGGTACAGACAGTGGGAGTAGATCTAGTTCAGGCTACAGTCGACCACGAGGACGACCAGCAGGTGGRAAACCACAACCAAAGTTCACCGTCACYGTGAGTGAGGTTAGAACAGAGGAGGAAAGCGGAAGCTCAAGTGGGGTGGACACTGACTCAGCTGTCAATCATCCGTCAACCAATGTCTCAGCAAAAGTAGTGGGTGTCTGTCATGTGTCTCCACGAGGGGGTAATAATGCACAGGGCACGCCGGGAACAAGAAAAGACAGGAAGCCCAAGGCAACTAATTCTCGAAAGGTGAACCAACAGACTAGGGCAACKTCAGATCTTGAAGGCTCTGATATCGATGTAGATAATGACGAACTAGGTATTGACTCAGGCGGTGTTGCGCTCTCACCAAGTACCAACCTCAGTGTTAAAGTCCAGGAAATCACTCTWCCTTTGCAWAACCGTGACCAGGATAAGCGAAGAGACTCTAATAGTTCTGGTGAAAAGGATGCCGGRTACAAGGAGTCACTGTCAGATTCCCCTGCCTCCTCCTCATCTGCTATTGTTTCCTCTGAAGGTTCGTCAGGTTGTGATCCTCCATTAAACAAACCAAGCGGAAAGAATAAGACCCCCTTGGTGGCATTTAAGACAGAAGGGTTACCACCCCCTCCAAAAAACACCGATGATGATTCTCATTCAAATTTGGGGTCTGGAACTAGCAGTACTGTTGTGAAAGCTACACAAGGAGAATTACTGCCTCGATTACCTGCTTCTGGAACACATAATCAAGTGTCCACATCATGTAACGGTGATTTAGAATCGGTTGATGAAGTCTTCGAATCAAATGATGTCAAATTCGAATCGTATGATAGCATAGAATCTGGTAACAAACCTGAAGCTCAAGATGGTCTCGCCATGGCAGCCTGTTCGTTGTCTTTATCTAATGATACAACTGTGGAAGGYCAGCCCTCTGAAAACCGTCCAGGTTGGCTTGGTACTCACCCAGAGGTTGCTGAAGGTGCTTCGAGTTTGATAGAGGGAGATGGCGTAGCGGCAGCGGCTGTGGCGGGCGGTGCGAGTGCAGGGGGGAACGAATTAAGTCCAGGTAGAAACAAACGTTATCCAAACAAGAAGAACCGCCGTAAAAAGAAAGGAAAAAACTCAGCTGTCAATCAAGCTACAGAAGCTGAAGCACACTTTATGTTTGAATTGGCGAAGACAGTGTTGACAAGAGCCGGTGGTAATAGTACTACATCAGTATTTAGTACCCCAGCTACTAGCACGAGCCATAGCGGACCCCACAGGGGGCTCCAGCTGTGCGCCTTTGAGCTTGGTCTATTTGCTCTCGGCCTACATAATCGTACGTCAATCAACTGGCTGTCTAGAACCTATTCATCTCATGTGTCATGGATCTCTGGACAGGCAATGGAAATTGGTAGCACAGCCATCCAGTTGTTGATTGAAAGATGGGAAAGTAATTTGACCCCATCAGAAGTAGCATCCATCGCTGATAGAGCATCAAGGTCCAATGATCCTACAATGGTACGGGCTGCTGCAGAGCTTGGTTTGTCATGTTTGCACATGGCACACACCCTTAACCCTGGGGAAATCCAGCGAGGTTTGTTACAGTGCCGAGACGAGGATACTCAGCTCTTAGACAGGGCGTGTCAAGCAGTCGAGAGCGCTGCGAGAGGTGGCGGAGTCTATCCTGAAGTTCTTTTTGACGTCGCGAGGCATTGGCATTATCTTCACGAGCAGAGTCAAGCAAACACCTCACGGTCTCATAAGGAGAACTCAAGAAGAGGTTCACAATCTTCAAGACCACAGTCCCAGCCATCTACTGCCTCATCATCTACCCCCTCAGTAGCCCCCTACCTCCACTCCTCACTGGGATCACACTCAAGCTTCATTCCTCCACCACCATATCAGACAGCAGAGCAGTATGTACAGACACAAATGCATCAACAGGTACAACATCTAATGAACCAAGGCAGCTATACCTCACCATATAGATCAAGTAACCAGACTAATTACGGGTACAATACCAGGCAGCTTCATGGTAATCAATTCCAGATCACAGGGTCATATGGTGGTCTACCACCACCCTACCAAACAGGCAACCCGGCCGTGTGTCAGGTATCAAGCCGCGCATTAAGTACTCAACCCGCTGGACAAGTCTCTTACTATTTGAACAATGCTTACCGAGTTGGTATGCTCGCTTTAGAATCGCTTGCCCGAAGAACTCCCGACGACCGCCCGACAGTCAAATACTCCAGAAACCCGCCATGCAGTGATGATATTCGGTGGCTGTGTTCGTTGTCGGCGAGACTCGGAACTTCGTATCTTCATCGGTTCTGTGTTTCAGCGTTAAACGCAGTTGTTAGTCCATTTGTTCTGCATGACCTCGCCTTAGAGGCAGCCAGGCACCTTGCAAGGTCGAATCCAGCACAGTTAGCAGTTAATCTACGTTCGCCTAACATTAGTCCATTAGTRCAGAAAAGCTTGTCGATGTACGGACAGTGTATTCATCAYAATCTCATGATCATGGCTCAATCTGATCACGAAGAGTTTGTGGAGCTCTTGAGGCATGCCAGGGGGGCMTTCTGCATGGTTCCGGGGGGGATGAGTCAATTTAATGAACTATTACAAAGTATTCGAAGGCTGTATCCCAAGAAGAAAGATTTATGGCAAAAAATTATGACTGGCCTTGCCAAAGCATAGTAAAGCKTGAAATTAAAACAAGCACAATAAGCCAGTAGATTTATGGACGGCGTATATGAACTATGATATAATAATATATAAAGATAATAAAAAATATATAATTAATAGAAGCAAAACAAACACAAGAAAAAAWTCGATGTTTTGTTATTTTGCTTGGTATGATGTTCTAAACATTCATTATATTCTAGAAACATGATCATGATTTTTGTCACGTGGTACATTTTTTTGAAATACTTTATTATAATAAAAAGCTTTGTTTTGTTCGATTTTTGTATCCTAATGTGCTTGATWGAACTCAAAATTTGAGAGGAAAGAGGAAATGAAGGGATAAGAGTATAGGCTCGACTCCCAAGCTTATGAGCAAAAACGTGTTCCCTCCAAAAAACTCGATATACTCGATCACTCTTGCGAGACCAGATGTTACGCAATTGATAGTACTGTGATAGTGAAACCGTCATTCAGTGCGTTATGATGTCCGGACTTCAAAAGGACAACCTCCTTTCATTTGAACACGTTCCTGTAGTTTTTCTCATCGCCATTAATTATTCAGTCTCCTTGGCAGCCTATGATTGTTGTCAGGATCACTGCACCGACTGCTATGGAGGCCACAGGTTTAACTAAACGACTATTAAAACAAATATTGAGGAAAATTCCACAATAATGGCGCAGCTATCAAAGTTATGATGTCAATCATGTAGGCATGTTCCTGCTAGCGATGCGTTTAACAAAACCGGAATTTCGTAATCAATCGCCATTATATATTATTATATTTCTCCTCACTTTATATGTAAGGAATCAGGTTGCTTATTATAAATTCTGTTTTCTGTAAATGTATCTTAAATAATTGCAATCAAAGAAATAAACTTTTTTAATGAAAAAAATATATATTTACAATGTTGCCGTAGTTTCACTCTGCCAAAGTAAAGATGACGTCATAGCATCATAACCAGTTATACCCAGTCCCTTGAGCTGTCGCTTTGGTACTTTCCTTCAAAGAAGCGGCGTTCATTTCAGTTCAGTTAAAGCATTACGACTGAACTGTTTATCACGCTTGCCGATCGCCAGTTAACCAGTTTTCTYAAGCTCAATCTTCTATAATCTAAGAATCCAAGTGTACGATTGCAATATTTATACAGAAGGCAGCCAATATGAAGACAGTTTTGGGTGTGATAGCTGTCTTGTTGATCGTCTATTCTCAAGGTATGGATTCTAAATCTGCTTACTTCGCTTCAGAATATTCTGATTACCTCAGAATGCGAGATTTTTGATATATAGATCGCTATGAAATCTTAAACTATAGCCTACATCAGGGTCCTACACCAGTACATAAAATATTAACTATGACAGTAACATTGGACCTTCGAACATAATCCTTTCCTTTGTAAGCCTACTTAAACATTTTTGCATGACATTTGAAATTTCACAAAGATAAAGATGTTTTTTTTTCGGGAAATGTGAATATCTTACGTGCAAGGCACTTTATCCTCGATCTATAAGCCCAGTTGTTGGAAAGTAACATGAGTTTTTTTTTTTAATTACTGGAAATTCACGACGCCAAATTTGAATTGCAAATTTATCACAATGCTGTTGCTAGTTAGATTATCACTTAAATTTAGCTCATGACATGACATTTAAGCTTTAAGATATATCTTTCAAAATTAAATGTTTAATTGTTATTGTTGTTGTTCTATTTTATTTTACATAAACTGGATTTTTTTTTTAAGTAATACTGTCTGATACTGTATGTCTCATGTCTCTCTGTATGTAATCATTTCTATGCATGAATGAATATCATCAATCCCTCTTATGCAAGACAGTCAGATAGATAATGTTAGGGTACTGTACTTAAAAACTCATAGTTACTTAAATTTCTTTCTTATTTCGTTTCTTGTTCGCACAATCTTCATACTTTTATTAATGAATTATAAAATTGCCTACAGAGGGAACAATGCTGGTTTTTGCATAAGATAAACTTAATCCTGAACACCTGTTAAGAACTGTAATTAGAAACTCAGTTTGCTTAGTCATTTTACTCCCTGTTATTCRTAAGCTAGTTTAACTATAACCAATAAAATCAAACATAACTCAGCTGTTAGGTTCCTTTCATTATAGTCTTAAATTCTGTGTTAATGCATTGATGAKCTTGYTCAACCAGTGGYTATTTGAATAGCTGTTTKAGAKTAGCTTCAGAATACCTAGCAACAAATGCTATGACTTTTTAAACATCTGATACTAAAACTAGTCACACAAAAAAATTGCCATCTTTGGTTTTGAAGAAGTCAACTTGCAAGAGATCATTAATATGAAGCAAGAAATGAATACAAAGGCTCTTGGGTGTATGCAGTCCTTAAGGTTGTTTTGAAGATAACAGAATAGCATCACATTAAATATTGTATGTTAAAATAGTCRTGCTGAGTATTAWAAGTCAATTTCTTCACATATAACCTCTTAAGTAGGTGTTTTTTGASWAATGGTTGTGGTTGTTGTCACAGTTTCATCTGCCATTCCACAGCTGTTCAGTGATGTTAGGACTATCAACTTACACATTCTTTCAAGAAAAAAAATTAAAATAAATTGAATTTGCTTGATAGACAACTAGCCTTTTACACAGAAACCAAGGACATCTTTATTAAAACTAGWTGCTTTTTTCACACAATTTTATAGATTATTAATTAATAAATTTCTTATTAGGGTCAACTGATGTATACAAGACTTATCTGAAAGAGTTTGACAATGTACGTAGTCATGTTCCCCACACTCCAGAACTTGTCAAAAACAGAAACAATGTGAGAACTTTTATGAAGACTAAGTTTGAAGCTGCAGGTCTTGATGTTCAAGTGATGAACTTCTCCACAACAGATACTAATACTGGAAAGGTATTTCCTTAGATTTTGATGTTTCTTTTCCAAATTTTTCTTTTGTCTTTTTTAATTTCATGTTTTTTTTTTCTTTTCCTATCTTCATTTTCCTCTTTTTCTTCTTCCTTTATACTTTTGTTTGCCTCTATTTTCATTGTTCATCCCCTTATATAATGGCCATTATTCTTGTTTTTACTCAAGATTTTTCTTCTTATGGTCACTCTATTTCAGTTCTTCTCGGTGACATTATTACTCTGATTTTGTGTCATATTATAATACTTTGAAGTCACAGTCAGGACTCAACTTAATGTTACACTGATAAAGGTTGATATGTCAGCCAAAATGGCTGTTATGCGATAATAAATTGTATAACAAGTCAGAGGCAGCATTTCTAATGTTGTAGCAACTTAGGGGAGCAAGGATGGCCGAGCGGTTAAAACGCCCGTCTATCACCGCTGTGGTCCTGGTTCGATTCCCGGTCCGGGACTGTGATTTGAGTTTGTAGGCTGGTTCTCTCCCTTGCTCCGAGGGTTTTTCTCCAGGTCCGCTGGTTTTCCTCCCTCAGTCAAAAACTAGCTGTGAGGAGTGTCGTGTAGTAAAATAATGAATGTTGAAGTAGTGAGTGTGAGTGAATATATAGAGGGCCACAAGTTTATTAGTCTAGAAACTATTACGTGCTACCCTCTCAAAATAAAAAAAAGACTTTTAATATTTGTTTTTTCAGGCTGTCAGTGGAACAAATYTGATTGCAACTTTGAAAGGATCAAATTATGGAACTTCAAAAGACGAGGTTATTGTATTAGCAGCACATATTGATACTCCGAAACGAGATGCTGGTGGAGTGAACAACGATGGTTCAGGTCTTGTAGGGCTTGTSACTATTGCAGAAGCCCTTAAAGGTATAGTATACAAACATGACATTCATGTACTTGTAAATAGAAATAATTAAATAATCCTTTTTTGCCAATTTACAAGATTTACACACGATTTGAAACTATACCTTTTAAATGTAATTTCATGAATTAGACAGCCAAACTTGCACTTATAATCTACTTTATAAAATGTTTGATATATAACGCGCGCTCTGATTGGCTGACGACCGTGTTTATATCAGAGGACAGAGACACGGCTTACCGGCAAAATTTTCTTTTTGTTCGAAAAATTTTATAAAAGAAATATGAAACRGYCGCTYGTGTCTCTGTCCTCTGATATAGACACGATGGGAGTTGAAAAACACTCGAGAAGCAAYGCTACAACGCTACGCTAGTGTTCCTAAGCTTGCTTCTCTTGTGTTTTTCGAGCTCCCACTGTGTTTATATCAGAGGACAGAGACACGCGMGCCATTTTATATTTGTTAAGTATATAAGATTGAATTATTTGAAATGTGGACATGTTGTCTTTTTTCAGGTAAAGAATCTTGCACAAGAAACAACAGTGTCATTTTTGCGGCTTTTGACAGAACTGAAACAGCTGAAATTGGTCAAAATGTTACACAATGCAAGAAAAGCTGTGGAAGCCAGGAATTCATCAAAAACAAAGCTTCATTCCTTAAGGGTGGAAAGATCAAGTTTGTCATTGTTATGGACTGTATTGCTAATTTTGAACMTGATCTCAATACACAGCACCTATCTGGTGTGCTGTCTACATACTTCCCAGACTGGTATGAAGAAACGCAATTGTCAGATTTTGTTGGTGATTACCTGGCCATTACTGGACGTAACAATGAGAAAGCGTACCTTGAGGAGATAAAGAAGATCTATGAAGCAGTCAGAGTTGAACCATCAAAGGGACGGCTTTTGGCAGCAACYTTTCAGTGGAATGTAAATGGAGTTCCTAATTCCCAGAACAAAACAGTTATAAATTCTGCTTTTGATAATGGAGACCACATGAGGTAAAGGTGTGAGCTGTTTTTAAAAACATGAATGGATGAATGGGAGGAGCAAGTGCTGCAAGGAGAGATGGTTGGATGAATGGATGGGTGGTTAAATGRCAAATGAATGAATAGGTGAAAAATTATGAGAATGATGGGAGCTCATGAATGAAACGAATGGATGAACAAATGAATTGTTAGATGAAAYRAAGCAATGGGAGAATACACCTTAATCCAAAATGGCTGACTAGCCCTTGATGTCTCGTTTTCATGAAATTGTTCTTTTCTTTTAAAGTCACTCAAGCTCAAAGACAAAAGAATAATTTTATGAAAACGAGACATCCAAGGGCTAGTCAGCCATTTTGGAATAAGGTGTATGGATAAATAAAAGGCTGAATTACTTGGTACAGTTGTCRAGTGCAACTTGGAGTTTGTGATTTTCCTACATTAAGGTCATAGTTTGAGCTTTGGTTCAAAATCCTACATTGGTTGCCTACGACTGTTCAAGGCAGCCTTTGTAAGGGATTTGGAGCTCATTTCAGTCCTATACTACACACTGTTAGGGCTACTCCCTGAAATCCTTGAAAAGTCCTGGAATTGAAAACCCGTTGAAAATGGGAAAACTCCTGGAAAACTCCTTGAATCTGATAAAATTAACATTTTGATTTTTGCTGTTTGGATTGAAATGTGGCTATTTTTGGAAATCACCACTGGAAACATTCGCAAATATATATATATAAAAAAAATATCAAAACAAATATCTTCAAAAATGTTCCTTGAAAATCACATTTTTGTGCTTTTAAAAAAAGTACTTGAAAAGTCCAGGAATTTTGTAGTGAAAATGTTGCACAAACCCTGACTACAAGTCATATGCAACAATTGTATTTTGTAAATCAGTCCTTTATAATTGCAATTTGTATTTACAAAATATATATACTGTGTTTGATTTGTTGTTAGTTTTTGGGATGCCAATATCAATGCTGTGCTGCTCACTGATACCTGCTACAGCCGTAAACCATATCAAGGAATTAACTGTGATCTGTCAAATACCTGTGATGTATTTGCTAAGTTGAAAGATGATGATTTCAAGTTTATGGGRACAGTTTTATCTACTGTGAAACAGWTTACCAAGAAGTATACTTGTGGAGGTACAACTTAAAATAAAAATGATTAGAAAATGTGTAGCTGAGTATGTGCAAGACATTGGTATACCRKCAAATCTTGATTATCCAGAGTCATTGTGCCTGCACTAAAACTTCCAGATAATGGCTGTCCTGATACATGCTTATGACATAAACCRGGAGTAACTTAGGGATTGAAAAATATTCTTATTGAATTGAACAAGAAGCAAGAAAATATTGTTTTCCTACAGACAAGCAATTTTTCTTGAATTAAGGTGAAGGGAATCCCTTGAYATTTGCCATCCAAACTCCTTCWGGGCCCTTAGGCCTCGTTTCCATTCCTTTGTTTTCTATTGTTTTCAGTTCACCTCCAGCTTATGTCATAAGCATCYATAATTGAGGTTTGACTGTACAACCAATGGTTTACTGGTGTATAAATATGAACTCTACTAGACTTTTTGTGATCATATATTTTGATTAATAAATAGCATGTGATGATTGTGATGTAAATGCTGACTGCAATGGCAATACTTGTACATGCAAGAAAGGATACACTGGAAATGGGAAAAATTGTACAGGTAAATTATATGATAGCCAAAAATATCAATTACTGTAATTCCCWTGTTGTTCATGCAAGAAATAATTGGMAAAACTATGGATTTTAGTCCAATGAGAGCAGACATTGGTTGTTTTATCACCCAAATGAAGCTGCTCTAACATCGCATGCAAGTATTTAAAAGACCAAATTAAAACATGGCTACAACTAAATGACTAAGACATGTTGCATGTGATGGTTGTGGGAAGAAGTCATCCCTGCTAAATACCACTTGTATGAGCTAGTGACCTTTTGAAATGTTATAGAAAACAGATTAATTTAATAAATTTTGTTGTATATTCTTTAGATATTGATGAGTGTAAACTGAATCYGTGCAGTAAAGATGCTGTTTGTGAAAACAAGCCGGCTGGAAGCTATCAGTGTCGATGCAAGAACGGCTTCACTGGAGATGGGAAAACATGCTCAGGTAGGARCATCTGTAAACTGTTTTGAAACTGTCTAAAATGAAGGTTGTAAGCTATATTAACAAGTCAGTGCAAAGTAAAATGATTTATTCATTGGCTGAATTTCTTCCTSTACTTTTGGTTAATTGTTTTCGAGAGTACAAATCACATGTTGAAAGTTTATTTTCTTACTTACATTTCTCTATTTAAAATGGCTGTTTGTTTGTAGGTGCAAGTGTCCTACAAGTAATCCCTCAAGTCTTGTTCTTTGGTCTGGCCATGTTGTTATCATACTTCTGGATCTAAGTGTCAAGTAATCCCTTCCCCTATCCACCCCTCACCCCTCCTCTACTCCAACATGMACTGTCCTCACATGAGGACACACAATCCCCCTCCCCTCCCCCACTCCAATCTGGATTCAGTTATACWTGCCAACTATTTTTCACACTTCAATWGTCTSCTTCCCTGTTTATTCTCCTATTGTACCCCTAAGGGGCAATCCCTACCCTGCTACAAACAACAATTATATTCCTCCACATAATAACTTGTCTTCTTGTGTGTCCTAGCTGCTATTATAGAGTGCAAGTCACATAAGCATGAAACAATTCTTAACTATGTAGTGCTAAATAAGATTTAGTTATCGACTAACTAAGAATTGAGAACAATGCTACAAAGGAATTTGAATAATTGGCATTGTGTTTATGCTTTGTTGAATTCTTAGTTAGTTGATAACTAAATCTTATTTAGCAATACATATTAAGAATTGTTTCATGCTTATGTGACGTGCACTCTATATGACCAGACATCATAGAGTGCTCGCACTAAATGCGTGAAATATAAATACTACAAAAATAGGTGATAAATTATACAAATTCTTTTGTTTCCTATTGTATGATCAACACTATTTAGTAGTAATTAGTGCTATTTGTTTCACGGTTTAAGTGTGAGCACTCTACTAGTGATTTTTAATTTAATTTAATCAAATTTCTAATACATCGCATTCGTACAGATATCAATGTCAATGATCTAGTAAGGACTGAATTCACGATATCTTAAGTCAATGACAATGCGTTCAGTGGATATAAGGGATACCCTCTAGTGCCTATGTATTCCTTGCAGGCGAGAGCGTGTCCTGGAGCGAGAGGATGTGACGTCAGATGCTAGAAGCGAGGTACGCCTTTTTAGGAATAGGCTGCAAGGATAATATTTTAATCATGAAAAACTGGAGAAAAGTAAAAAATATTCCTTGATCTCACTGAACGATCAATTAATCAATGAAAAGTTTTAATAGAACGTATTAAAAAACTTGTATCGGAGAACTGTTAACTTTAGACATCTGTATTTTGTGTTTCCTGAAGTGTCTACAAGTCGGCTTTCGTACGAAATTTTCTAATTAACAGTTTTGAGACAAGAGATTTCATTGTAAAACAGAAAAAAAGGACATATTAACAGATGTGTATAATTGTTAAAAATGTTTCTATTCTAACTTGCTTAAAATTTCATTAAGCACTCTTAGAGCACTCTAAAACCAAAGCAAGTCCCATTTTATATGAACTAGGGAAGACGCATGTAATCTGTCGATAATCTGTGAAACTTAAARGACCATGGCCCACCAGCATTCTATGTGGTCGTGTTTCAGACTTTTCATATATGCAAAGTCGGGTGACTTCAAATATCCATTCGCAATCCATTTCYATAAGTCGGTTCTAAGGTCAAATGTTGAAATATCTCCATAAAGGGACAAAAGAGTAAGTCTTTGCTTATGTTACGATATATTTTTACTTTCAAACATAAACAAAAACTCGAAAGGGATGCTGGTGGAGCATGGTTCTTGAAATTGTACAAACTAAGTGMTAAATTAKGCTAGTGAAGTCAAGAAYCTTGAAACAAATYTTGACTATTAAAGTGTGATAGTCAAATAAACACAAAAGAAAACAATGAAATTAGGGTTTAATAAGGTGTAATATCTATTCACGTTTTTTTTTTAAGGTTCACTCTAATTCCTTATATAATCAACRCTATTTAATAGTAATTAGTATATTTGTTTCAATGTGGATTAAGTCCGTCTATCACGAGTCAGTTCTTTAMCTATAAGTAGATAAATTAGCCTTGTGAAAAATTCAGTTTTTTCTGTAGTCAACTGTATTAATTTRAATTAACTATACTGCCAATAAACTRTTATTAAAATTCCTTTTGTTGATTGAATATTCGTTTATTTGGTGTGATTTTTGTAAATTTACTGGAAAACCTAAGGCTCTGGTTCAAAACGATATCGGAAGACCCATAAACTTAGTCGTACGATATATGCAAACTGATTAGATGACGCACGGGAATTTTTGAACCAATCAAATCAAAAATTCCAATCAGATCTTAGATTTTCTGTTGGGAAGCCGTATGGGATGAGGGCAATATCTGTATAACGCACTTGAATTTTAATAGCCAGGGCGATATGAGATAAAGACCTTCAAATAACAAAGAAAACTGAATCAATCGTGTAATAAAACAGGATAAAAAGCAATCTTAATTATTCCAAGGTTGCGTAAAATTTCTTTGGTGTATTTTTGTATTTCAGCTGAGATTTACCAGCTTTAAACCAATGCAAACGAAATACAAAGCTAGCAAACAACGTCGACCGGACTGTTGAGACGAACATACAACGTTAAACTGCTGTCTATACACAGGCCTCCCACATGTCAGTCAAACKTCAAAGCACCCACGTGACACAGCACGAAGATACAAATCAGTGTATAAAGAGACGAGGTGATATTGGTGGTGTAACATATACTTCACGTCATGATCCGTTTAGTTACACTRGCCGCACTTGTAGCTGTGGCATTCGGCCATGGAATGATGCATGACCCAGCTTCCAGGAACTCGTGCTGGAGGCATGGTTTCCCAGGCTGCCCAGCACAGTACACCGATAACGAGTTGAACTGCGGTGGTTTYAGCGTTCAATGGGGRAAAAAYGGCGGYAAATGCGGTGTTTGCGGCGATGCGTATCATAATAAAAGTCCWAGGTACGTCTATCCAGGAGCATACGCTAAAGGCATCATCACTAAAACCTACAGMAAAGGCCAGGAAATMGACGTACAAGTTCAGCTCACAACAAACCACCTTGGACGATTTAAGTTCCGCATTGGAAAACTCGGAAGCGCTCCAATGACTGAAGAAAAGTTGACTCACGTTGTAAAAACCTTAGACGGGAAAGACTGGTGGCAAGTACCAGACAGAAAAAGCCGTACWTACAATTTCAAGCTAAAGTTGCCAGCTGACCTYACGTGTAACCATTGCGTTATGCAGTGGTACTACAAGACGGGCAATAACTGGGGGTGTGACTCTGAGGGGTGTGGTCTTGGTTATGGACCGCAGGAAACGTTCGTTAATTGTGCTGATGTTAAGATTGTTTAGATGTGTACTTTAACATGGCTATCCACGCTTAAATGTTTTAAAACAAGACTATACATGGACATAATGTAGTTTGAAATAGGGTACCAAGAACGCATGTTGTTGTCACAGCTTGTTTTTGAGTCACTGTAGAATCAGAACTCTAGCATTGTTGTAGATTCTCGGGGAAGTCAATAAAACTCTATATAGATTAAAACGCATCTTAACATTGATTTTTCTAAAATATAGACACATCCCTTTAGACACCTCTCTAG